CAAGACAGTTTACCTATTTCTTTATTAAACTGTCTCTTCAGGCACCCTTCCCCTTCCTAAAGATGCTATTAAGGTATTTTCCCAAAACAAGACAGTTATCACTTCTGAGAGAAACTATGTTTTCCAGCTTTTAATGCCTTTTTATTTGACTTCTTACATAAATAGTAATAAAACAAAATTTGTACCACTTTGTAACCATGATGCATAGCAAGAAACAAGAGAGCATGAGAGTTAAGCCCTCATTTAGGGCCAGATTTCCTGGGTCCAAAATCCTGACTTTACTCAACAATAAAACAGTAAGTAACACAATTAAAACTGGGCAAAGGATCGGAATAGACATAGCTCTGTGAAAATGTTTCCAAAAATAAAATGGCCAATACATACATTAAAAGAGGCTCAGCATCATTAGTCATCAGGGAAAGGTAAATCAAAATGACATTGAGACACTACTGACACCCACAGGATGACTAAAACCAATAGACAATAACAAGTATTGACAAGGATGTAGAGAAATTGGAAACCCGTATGGTGTTGGTAGGAATGTAAAATGAAGTAGCATCTTTGGAAAATGGTCCCATTGTTCCTTAAACATGTAAACACAGTGTTAACATGTTATCTAGCAATTCTATTCCTAGGTATATCTCCAAAATAAATGAAAACACGTATCTACACAGACTAGAACACGAATGTTTATAGGTATGACGTCATTATCTTCAGTGAGCCAGCAATTCCCTGGACCATCAGTCCCTTGATCTCGTCATCTCCAAGAACCTCCTCCCCTACCTCATCCCTGCCCCTCAGTCTGTCGACACCTGGAACCCCCCCCCCCCGCTAACTTCCTACGTTCAGACCCCCCACCATCCCATGGCACCTCCTCCTTACCTAGCTCTCCTGTGGTGTGAATACCCACACCATAGTTATGTAGCCCCAGGAGGACCTCCAGAGCACTGCAGCCCCTCCTACCATCACTTCCTCAAATTATCCAACCGAGATGCCACACTCATCACTTTAGTCATTCTCTTGCCAATACCCTCAACCTCCTGGCCCCCTTGTCCTTCCGCGCCGAGAGCCTGAGAAAACCCCAACTCTCAATGACCCATCCATCTGTCTGCTTTGTGTGGCTGGCTGATGAGAGCTGCTACAGAAAAATCACATTGCCTTGCATGTTGATGCCGTTATAAATACATAGCCACCAGCATCAGCCGGGGCCTCCAATTAAACCGTCAATCCTTTATTTTTTTTTATTTCCCTAATCACCACTAACCTAATCTCCACAACGATTATTTCACATGTTTGCTACTCTTCTTAAACTTCTTGCCCTTCAGTTTCAGCATGTATCCTGGCCTTTTCACATGGACACACATATACATACAATAGGGACCATCAGAAAGAAGATTTTTCAATATTCTGCTACTAACCTCATAAATCTTTTTGAATTTGTGCTCATCACATCTTTCTCTCTTCCTAAGATAAATTTCTCTCCATCTCATCATTTATATTCTCAAAAGCAGTGTATGAGAATCACAGTTGCTCCACATTCTCATCAATACTTGGTATGGTCAGCCTTTTTTATTTTAGCCATTATAGTAGATACATGGTGGCATTTTATTGTGGTTTTAATCTGCTTACCCCTAATGACTAATGATATTGAGCATTTTTTCTGTGGCTAATTAGCCATCTGTGTATCTTCTTTGGTGATGCACTGTTCAAATCACTTGACAATTTAAAAAATGGAGTTATTTTCTTAATCCTGAGTTGGGGATTAAAGAAAAAATCCGACTACAAATACTTTATCAGGTATGTGATTTGCAAATATTTTCTCCCCATATTTCGTTTCTTTTCATTATCTTTCAAAGAGTAGAAATTCTTAATTTTGATGAAGTCCAACTTATCAATTTGCTCTTCTTTGGATCAGGCTTTTGGCGCTGTAAGTGCTACTTCTTGAAATAACTTGTTAATGCATTCTGTTACACCACAGTCCCCAAATTCCCTTCCGTGCCAGTTATCAATTTGTTGCCTCTCAGCTCCAATTCATCCTTTTTGCCTGCCCTGTGAAAGCAGAAATGGACCCTAGAAATATGTTTTTCTTTGCCATCTGGCATGATGTTAAACTTGGGTGGCAGGAGGAAATGGGTTCGCTTGCTAGTTCTGCTGGGCTAGCCCCGCAGGTGTCTGTAGCACTAAACTCTCGTTGTGCGCACACTTTCTCTGTCGGCACTCAGTGGCCGGCAGCTTCCTCTTCAGGGTTTTGTAACAGAGTTCCTTCCATCAGACACCTCCCTGTGGACAGCTTTCCTTGGCACCCTACACAGTGGGCGTCCAGCAACGTCTCTGCCCTTCAGTACACTCTACCTATCCCTCTCCAGCAAGGTCTGGGAGTGAAGGAGTCTCTTCCTCAGGGACTGTCTCTCAGCCCCAAGTGGTGGCTGTTCTATATTATATTGTATTATTTCTATTACATCTGTGATTACATTTTTAAAATATTATATTTTTAGCTGCTGTTTTAATCTTCTTGAGTGTTCTCTTTACTTCTTCCTAGCCCACAGGTGGGCAAACCACAGGCTAAATCCAGCCTACCGCCTGTTTGTGTGAATAAGTTTTCCTGGAACATGCTCAATCATCTATATATCGCTTAGGGCTGCTTTACACTACAACAGCAAAATTCAGCAGCTGCAAGAGAGACCAGATGGCCCCCAAAGCCGAAAACATTTTTTTTCTGTACAGAAAACATTTAGGGACGCCCGGGTGGCTCAGTCGGTTGAGCACCCGCCTTCTGCTCAGGTCATGATCCCAGGGTCCTGGGGTTGAGCCCCGCATCGGGCTCCCTGCTCTGCTTCTCCCTCTGCCTGCCACTCCCCCTGCTTGTGTTCTCTCTCTCTCTCTGACAAATAAATAAAATCTTAAAAAAAAATTTAATAACCCCTATACTAGCCAGTTCCTCATTAGTCCAATCCCATTATGTTTCATAATTCTTGATATTAATCTCTCCCTGTTCAAATTACTGTGTGGCTTCTCTAGTCTCATTGGACCCAGTCTAACGCCTCACCAACCTCTCTGTCCCTTTGTCATTGTCCATTTTCAGGCTCACCTTCCTCTACCTATCCCATAATGTTAGTGCTCCCCAAGACCCTCCTCTCTGCTTTCTGTCATAGCCTCTCTAAGCCCCTTGTTTGCTTACTCATCTTTCATTATTGGGTTTAACCAATGGTTTTTAATTTGGGTTCTATGAATGAAATTGCATGCAGATTTTGTGTGGATGTGCAAAAGCACATACATGTGGGGAGGTCTCCAGCCTCCTCTTTGGGCAATGTGGCTTACTAGTCAAGGGCACAGAGACTGGATATATCCTTCTTAAGTTTGAATCCCAGTTCTGCCACAATGGCCTGGGATAATTTATTTAAACATGCTGTTGCCTCAGTATCCTTGTCTGTAAAAAAAAAAAAAAAAAAAATTATAGTCCTACTTCATAGAGTTACTATGGGAATTAAGGTAGTTAATATATACAAAGCACTTGGACAGGGCCTGGCACATAATAAGCACCATTTAGGCACTGGCTATAATCGTCATTTCTAGCACTCCCTCTTGCCCTTGTGCCACAGCTAGACCACTGTTTTCCCTTGTTCTAGTGCCCCCGCTTTCTCTGACTCTAGATCTCCAGTGGACTCTTCCCTCTGCTCGGAGGACTCTTGCCTGTATGTTTGCTCACTAACTCCTGACCTTCCCTCAGGCCTCAACTCAAATGTATTTCTTCATAGAAGCTTTTCCTGATCTCCAAACCAGGAGGAGCTTCATGCTATGACCTCCCAAAACTTTCTTTTCCCTCATAACCCTCATCACAATTTATTCATGGTGATCACGTAAAGTTCCTCCCTGACAGGCCATAAGCTCTGAGAGGGCAGAGGTCATTTCTGCCTGGCTCCCTGCTGCACCTCAGCACAGTGCCAAGGAATAGCATAAACATTCGTCAAATGAATAAGTGAATGAATAAGGAACAAAACACATAAAGTCTTTTAATAAAGGTGTAAAAACCTATGCATATAATAGGTACCACAATAATGAGCATATGACAAAATCTGATGATTATTAGATAATCTAACATGAAATCAGTAGAAATTTATATTGTGTGAAGGAAGCCTCTTCAATTTCTATAAGATATATTCATTTAAATTGAGCTTGGAACATGTCTTTCAATCAAATGAAAATTAATTATCCAATCAGTGACTTGTTAAAACATCCCCTACCTCTACCTCTTGGAAACCAGATATAAGCCTCAGATGGCAGAGCTGAAAGAAATAATTGAACAGGGAACCTGCTTGTTCTCAGAGAATTTTCATGGCCTTAATTCAAGACAGGATTACAGACTTTCATGAGTAAGCAAAACCAACTGTGCTAATCTGAGAAATTCATTGCCACCCTGGGAGTTAATGTATCTAATCCAAGTCCACCAGGAAAACTGTGTTCTATTATCAATTAACACTCAAACAGCAGGAAAATGATGGTAGCATTATAATACAAAATAGACACAATAAAGTGATTCTCCTGGGAATGTCTTCAGGGACGGGTTGCTTAGAGTCCCCTGGATGAAGGAATCCCTAAGGAGGAAGGATTCCCACCTCCCCTCTTCCTTCCTAACTGTCAGACTCCAACCGCTCCCCTCCTGTGTAATCAGCCTCGGAACACTCCCAAGACGCCAATCTTTATCTCCAGGAGAAACAATGCGGTAACTGCTTCACTATGGGGAAAACTTAACGAAGTTTTGTTTCCGGGAGCTAGAGGCACCGGGAGCTAGAGGACTGGGGAGGTTTCACGACAATCCTGGCGGCCAGCGGGCTGTGGGAGAGTTGGACGATCCTCTAGAAGCCCTAGAGCCTAGATGGCTGGGGATTTGTTGCGTTAGGTCAGCTTGTCCGAGCAGCGCGGGAAGCAGCGCCCTCACGCCCAAGCTGTGGACTACATTTCCCAGACCGCTTTGCTCCCCGGGCTGTCGTACTAAGATTAGGGCGTGTCTGGGAGGAGCAGCACGGTCCGCGAACGCTGCTGGGGCATCTCGCTCAGCTCCTACCTACGGCCACAGCAGCCGTCCCACAAGATGATCGGGATCCTCCTGCTCCTGCTCCTGCTCCTCCCCCTTTTCCTGTACATCGCTGCACCCCAAATCAGGTCTGTGCAAATGCATTGTCTTCTTTGAGAAGAATTCAGGAGGACGTTAATCCTCACCGAAGCTCTGTTTCCAAAAGAAGGAAAAGGAAGATCCCTGGGGGGGCTCCAAGTAGGTCGAGGCCGGGAGTTGGGTTGGTCGGAGGAGGTCCAGCTCTCCTGGATGCGGGGGGACGAGAGCAGGAGACCCCAGGCGGTGGGAAGGGGCTGTAGTCCGGATCCCCTCACTCTGTTTCTCCCGATCCCTTTTTTCGTCTCAGAAGCCCTTGCTTTCTGCTCCAGAGAACCCCGAGTGCAAGGCTGCCTCAGACACTTAAGTTCCCAGCATTGGTAGATTTTAGACCCTGAAATGGGGTATGGACCTTAAGACTGTTTTCCCCTTAGCTCCCATCCCTTGAACTAGCCCTATCTAGTTTCTTGCTTCCAGCCTTTGAAGTACAATGGAGCGATTCGACCTTTTGCACTCTGAAACTGTCCGTCGATGGGAATCGTGCTATCTGCAGACCCGTTGCTTGCTTCTCTTGTTGCAATTAGATTCGCCTTCTTTTCTGGGCGGATGTTGTAGAGGAAAGAAATGAAAGGGTTTCATCATGAGCCGTATCCTGCCTTCAGAGGAGGAGTATCTGGGGACCTGAATCACGCCCAGGGTTTGGGGGTGAGGCAGAGAGGATGAAGGGTAGTGGGCTCTTGACCTGGTGACAGATCAGCCAATGGCTGGCTGAGTGCCGCCCAGAATTGGCGGAAAGCTGCACAACGGGCGCCTGCTGATTGGTTCTGAGTAAATCACCCGTAGTGACGGTGAACCAGGGACTGTAGAGACGGAGTCCTTCCCCGGGGGCTGGGGCGGGGGCGTGGTCACCATCCACCCTCGTGCTCCTCTTAGAGTTTCATTTTTCCTCCCTTCTGAACACCTAGTGCTCACACTCAGATGAGAACGCTTTTTTTCTTTCCACCCGAAGATCCTTTTACCCAAATAGAATTCCAACGAAAAGTTGAGCCTGCACTGAAAATAGTGCTCACACCTCCGCGAGGTTTTTCAGAGGAAGATTATACTGCAAGGGTCATATCCCAACTACCTGGCTGGGTCATGGGAGCTAGCCTAGAGCTGGACTTTTCAGCTGATTCTCTTTCAGTCCTGTCGGTAAGGAGAAGAAAGAACTCAGTAGAACTCCTGATATGTTGTTGCTCCTGGAGCTAAAACTGAAAGGATGTGAAAAACTGAGCAGGGAGGCTTGTTCTCTGAGGAGGAAGATATCTTTTGGTGAGCACCGGTTTGCTTCCTTATTGGCCTGTGTGCACTAAGCAGATAACTTTAGTGGCTAGGAGTGTGTGCCTTGCAACGCCAGGTTCAATGAAAAAGGCTGAAATGCTCTTTAAAAGGGCATCTCCTGGTCAAGAGATTCTTTTAACTTGAGTCTTGAAATTTGCAGAGAAGAAAAAAGAACAATCCCTGTTTGTGCATTCATTTCTTTGGAAAAGAAGGGTAGTATAGTGCTTAGGAACAAGGACACTAATTAAACCAGGACTTGAAACCCAGCTCCCCTTTATACTGATTTATGTCTTTTCTTTATCTTATTTTTGATTGTGTGCGCGTGTTTCTGTTTGCTTTACACCAGCAAACAAGCTTCCATAATTTTAACTTTTTGTGTTGGATTAGCTGCGTATCAAGACTGTAAAGTGCCAGTTGTGGACAGATTGACATAAGTGGACCAGTTTTTGCTTCTTCTAGGCTGAGTCTTATGATTCCCTAAGCCTGTCAAAGAGCTCAAACTGAAGCCAGGTGCCTGGATAATCAAATATTTATCCAGTTCTTGTACTACAGGGGGCAGCTCTAAGGTTTGCCCTTATAATAGAATCGCTTTTGTTCTCGAGCAGGAGCAGAAAATTTTTGAGCAAAAAAAAACCTCGAGCAAGAGCAGAAAATTTTTCTTCAGTCTTCCTTAAGTGTATAAAAAGACTAGAAAGAACCAAAGCAAACTTTAGCCTTGGGATCGGAAGACATGGTAGTTACAGGAACCTTGGAGACAAGGAAAATGAAGAACTGATGAGCTCTCCTTCTCTCTACAGGAAAATGCTGTCTAGTGGGGTGTGTACATCAACCACCCAACTTCCTGGGAAGGTAGCTGTGGTCACTGGAGCCAACACGGGCATTGGAAAGGAGACAGCCAAAGAACTGGCTCAAAGAGGCAAGCTCACTGCTTCTAATTCCCTCCTACTCCTGCCATTTTATCCCTCACAAGGGTGACCATGCTCATTATTTCCTCCCAATCTTGGAATTCAAGAACTGTCCAAGTGTCCCACAGATTCACTGGTCTGAACCTAGTATAATGCTCTACATATAATGGACACTTAATATTATTGATTTATTTTTCTTTTTTGATTTGTTCATCAAATACCCCTGTCATGAAGTAGGGGTAAAATTCCCATTTAAAAAAAGCAAAACAAAACAGAAAATAACATTTATAAGTCTATGGGTCTGTAGTGTCCACTCAAAAGCAGAGCTGACAGGGTGTCTCTTTTATATATTGGTTGATAGGAGCCCGCGTATATTTAGCGTGCCGGGATGTACAAAAGGGGGAATTGGTGGCCAGAGAGATCCAGATTGTGACTGGGAACCAACAGGTGTTAGTGCGGAAACTGGATTTGGCTGATACGAAATCTATTCGAGCTTTTGCTAAAGACTTCTTAGCAGGTAAGTATAGAACTGGAGATTATGTTGTTGGTCTTGCAATTAACATGGCAGACTTAGTTAAAGGAAAAAATCCTTCTCCCTCTTTAATACATAGAAATACTAGATAGGGCGCCTCGGTGGCTCAGTCGGTTAAGCATCTGCCTTCGGCTCAGATCATGATCCCAGGGTCCTGGGATCGAGCCCTGCATTGGGCTCCCTGCTCCTCGGGGAGCCTGCTTCTCCCTCTGCCTCTGCCTCTGCCTCTCTCTCTCTCTCTCTCTGTCTCTCATGAATAAATAAATAAAATCTTAAAAAAAATAAAGAAATACTAGATAAATTAAAATAAACAACTTTCATTCAAAGGGGAATCCTCAAGAAGCAGCAACAAAAAATGAGTTTAAAAAGTCATAGCAGTGCATAAGAACTAAAGCCAAAAACCTCACGGGAGTATCAGAACTCAATATGAGCCTTAGGGTCTGGAGTCTAAATACTCATACAGGGACAGAAGATGAGGCCTCAGGCCCTGAGAGCAGGGAGCTGTATCTTAGGCTCCACATAAGGTTGGGACTCACAAAAAGTCGCCTGGTCCATGGTACAGGGGCTTAAAAAAAAACATAGGCCACCAGCTCCAAGACATGGCAAAGAAGCTTATCTTCTCTTTAGATGGCTAGAGAGTCATCTGCAAGATATTAGAACCTCAAGTTGGCATCCTCTGTGGGGGAGAATTTATTACATCACCAAAAGGTTTAAGAATCTTGAGCTGAAAAGTTAACATAAAACCCTGTAGCGTCACATCAAAATCAAACCCAAGAGGGCATATCCCCTCATAACATAGGGATCTTGGCCTCCATAGGTAAACAACTTCTACAGATATGAGCTCTTAGTTAGAAATTACAAATCACATGAAAAAACCACGAGAAAGAGTTGTCAAATGCATCAAAGAGGTGAAACCAGTATTTCTTTTGGCACCTTTTGGAATTCTCCAGTGAAACCAGTATTTCTTTTGGCACCTTTTGGAATTCTCCAGTGGCAAGGGGTGCATACAGAACAGCCTGTTTGCTCTTGCTTTGGAATCTTCTGATTCAGCTCAGGAAGTCTTTCTATTGGGAGAGGTGAGCAGAACATTTTCCCCAAAGCAGTGAGTGAGTAGCTCCTTAATTGGAAAGATCGGAAAGGCCATTTGGTTGTATAAGATGGAATTTTGCTCTGTAGTAAGTAGGTAGGATTCAACTAAAGTCTTAGACATTGAAAAACAATACAAAATACATATGAAGGGGAAATGGAGAAAAGACTAAAGTCCTGCATCCCAATTTTCAAAGCCTGGGTGTAAGGCAGATTTCTCAGATATAACTGCTGTGGCTGGCTGCTTCCACACCACATCTCCTCTTTCCTGCAGAGGAAAAGCATCTTCACATTCTGATCAACAACGCAGGAGTGATGATGTGTCCCTACTCTAAGACAGCAGATGGCTTTGAGATGCACATGGGAGTCAACCACTTGGGTAAGAAATCTGGTCTCATCCCCAAACTAGAGGAAGCCTAAAATTCTCCTTGGAAAACTTAGGGGTCAGGCTGAGCCAGCCACCTCTGGGCCCTAATAGACCATAAGTGAATAGTAAATACTATGATCCTGCCTGAAAACTCAGAGATAAACTTAGGCCCACTCGAGGTTCCACCTGCTTTTTAATTTGTGATCCAGATTCAGTTTACCTTGGGGCATTTTTGAACAGCCTAATTGGACTGGGGACTGTGTTGCTTTCTTTGTGGTTATCCTCATGACCAGCATCAGGTAGAGGCTGCCTGTCCTTAAAGAGTGATATTAATCAAAGTTGGAAGGAGACAAGACTTCATAGTCACATGATCCAGACCTCCCTCATGGAAGGATGGCTGTCCTATTTCCCCAAACCCTCCCTGAGCTTGTTCTGTAGTTGATAATGAATTAATGAGGCCAACAGCCTTGTTCCTGAGTTCTCTGCAGGGCTCACCATGACTCCCTTCATCTTGGCGTTGGCCCTGAACTCTGTTAATTCTAGTTTTTCTCATAGGTCACTTTCTCCTGACCCATCTGCTGCTAGAGAAGCTGAAGGAGTCAGCCCCATCAAGGGTAGTGAATGTGTCTTCTCTAGCACATCACCTGGGAAGGATCCACTTCCATAACCTACAGGGCGAGAAATTCTACAATGCAGGTCTGGCCTACTGTCACAGCAAGTTAGCCAACATTCTCTTCACCCAGGAACTGGCTCGGAGGCTCAAAGGTAGGCTTAGAAGAAGTAAGTATAGAGATATGAGTCAATGGAAAGTAATGAAAAGCCACACGATTACATACTGTTTTCTGGAGCCCATCCCCTGGACAAACCTGCTGCCATGACTATAACGGGGTATTATTTTAGTGAATAGCCCACAGTTGAATATTGGATGTGGCTGGCAGGAGATGGGGACATACTATTCTGACTTTGAGTCATAAGGCTTGGCTTACTAGCTGTGTGACCTGCAGCAAGCTACTTAACTTTTCAGACTTATTTCCTCATAAGTAAGACTACTTTATAGGTTATTATCCTCATTAAATCAGGCCTCATGAACAAGCAAGGTTTTTTACTCATAGACTAGATGGAAGGGAAGGACCTGGGGGCACCTGGGTGGCTCAGTGGGTTAAGCGTCTGGCTCTTGGTTTCTGCTCAGGTCATGATCTCAGGGTTGTGAGATCCAGCCCAAGCTCAGGCTGTGGGCTCAATGCAGAGATTCTGTCTGAGATTCTCTCCATCTCTCTCCCTCTGTCCCTTCTGTGCATGTGCTCTCTCTCACTCTCAAATAAATAAAATCCTTTTTTTCTTTTTTTAAGATTTTTTAATTTATTTGACAGAGAGAAACACAACGAGAGAGGGAACACAAGCAGGGGGAGCGGGAGAGGGAGAAGCAGGCTTCCTGTGGAGCAGGGAGCCCGATGCGGGGCTCGATCCCAGGACTCTGGGACCATGACCTGAGCCGAAGGCAGACGCTTAACAACTGAGCCACCCAGGTGCCCCTAAATAAAATCTTTTTTAAAAAGTGGGGGGAGGGACCTGAACTGGCACTAGATACAACCATTAGGATAAAACAGGCACTGGAACTAAGGTGGTGGTGGTGGGGAGGGGGAGTGTCTCCCTAACAGCAAAAGGTTAAATAAGTGAGAAATGTATGCTCGAAGAGGGGAGTCTCCAATCACAAATACACAGAGGTCCTTAGCACTCTCTACTCTGAATTTTCAATAAAAAGAAGGGTAACCCAGGGTGGACAACTGGAGTTGCTTAGGAGTTGAGGCAGGCAGAATTTTGGCTCAAGGAATCAGACACAGGAACCCCACCACTGGAACAGGATCATCAAAGTACGTGGAAATTAAATGGGTTACAGAGTGGGTGGGATGAGGCATCTGAGGATGTTGAGGAACATTCCAGGCAGATGGAAGAGAATGCTCAAAGGTCTGGGCTCTGTTTGAGTAATTGACAGGCTGCTATGATTAAAATGTAGAAAGCAAGAGGAGTAGAGGTCTGAGCTGAGACGGTGAGGTAGACAGAGGCAAAACCCTTCAAGGCTATGGTAAGGATTTTAGTGGAAGAGCAGTGGAGAACCTTTAAAATGAAAGCCTTTTTAAAATGGGGGCAGGAGTGTGTGCAGCAGGTGATTTCTGTAGCGTAGGTGAGAAATGAGGGTGGTCTGGGCTAGAGTGGTGGAGATGGAGGGTAGTGCACGCTTCTAAGAGATATTTAGGCTGAGAAACCCTCAGGGCTTGTTGATAGATATGCATGGTAAGGTGAGGAATTGTCAAGTACTGCTCTGTGTGCCTGCCTCATTGGGAGTTAGGGAATACTGCAAGATCCAGGTTTGGCCTTGAAAGTGTGAAGTTAGTTTTGCACCTCTGTGTCAGCATTACTACGGGTCATCTAGAGTAGATATCAAGGGACACCTGGGTGGGTCAGTCGGTTAAGCGTCTGCCTTCTGCTCAGGTCATGATCCCAGGGTCCTGGGATCAAGCCTCATGTTGGGCTCCCTGCTCAGCGGGGAGTCTGCTTCTCTCTCTCCCTCCCCCCCGCCTTCCTTGTGTGCAAGCGCGCACACGCGCTCTCTCTCTAGCTCACTCTCAAATAAATAAATAAAATCTTAAAAAAAAATAGAGTAGATGCCAAGTTGGAAATAATATATGTCCATTGTCCTTTATCTGCAATCATGAAATCCACAAAGACCTGAAAATTCAATTTTTTCAGAACCTTGACACCAAAGCTCATTTGGCAACAAAATCTCCCTTGTACTAGGGAGGTTAGGTAATAAGCAGTTTATATATGTGTGTCATAATTATCTTTCTAAAATTGGTAAAAATTTGGAAACCTCTCTGGCCCCAAGTTTCTAGTAAAGAACGGGGGACCTAACCTAGCACATGCAGAGTGTCATTTAGCACTTACCATGTACCTAACCTAGCACATAGTGTCACTTAGCACTTACCGTGTACCAGAGACTATCGAGGCTCTTGTACATATGAACTCATTTAATCCTCAGAACCACCTTGTGAGGTGCAGGTATTAGGATTATCCCCATTTTAAGAGGAAACTGGGTCAGGGACACCTGGGTGGCTCAGTCATTAAGCGTCTGCCTTCGGCTCAGGTCACGATCCCGGGGTCCTGGGATCGAGTCCCACATCGGGCTCCCTGCTCAGTGAGGAGCCTGCTTCTCCCTCTCCCTCTACTGCTCCCCCTGCTTGTGCTCGCTCTCTCTCTCTGACAAATAAATAAATAAAAATATTAAAAAAAAAAAAAAGAGGAAACTGGGTCACAGCATTGGGAGCTTGCCCAGGCTCACACAGCTCGTGAGTGGTATAACTAAGATTTGAAAGTGGGCAGTCTGACCACAGAGTCTGTGCCCTTAGCCACTCAGTCAGCCAAGAGTTCCAAGGAGTACAATGTGTATAAAAATGTGCGTGCCATATAGTTATAGAGAAGGAGTTAGGCAAGCCATGGGAACGCCAGCATTTGAAGTTTGGGTAGAAGATGAGGGACTGGTCCAGGAAACTGAGAGGAAGCAGCAAGAAAGGTTTGGAAAACCAGGAGTGTGGGGTCATGGAAGCCAATAAAAAGGCAGCTTTGAGGAAGGAGTGGCCCCTAGAGTCAAGTGCTGCTGAGAGGTTGAGTCCTCGCTCCACTGTTTCCAGTTTTTGTTTTTTTTTTAAAGATTTTATTTATTTGACAGAGAGAAACACAGCGAGAGAGGGAACACAAGCAGGGGGCGTGGGAGAGGGAGAAGCAGGCTTCCCGCCGAGCAGGGAGCCCAATGCGGGGCTCGATCCCAGGACCCTGGGATCATGACATGAGCTGAAGGCAGACGCTCAACGACTGAGCCACCCAGGCGCCCCTCCAAACAGTTAATAACCTCTTTGAGCTTTAATCCTAACCTATGAAATGGGGAGGTGTAAATTACTGTGAGGAGTGTTGTGGGAAGGGGTCTTCCTGGGGTGGGATGTTTATTCATGTCCTCTGCTCTCCTTGGCTATCCAGCAACATTAAGTCCTGCCTTCCTTTCCCTATGGGGCACCCCCCAATTAGGCTCTGGCGTAACGACATATTCTGTCCACCCGGGCACAGTCAACTCTGAACTGGTTCGGCACTCATCCTTCATGAAATGGATGTGGTGGCTTTTCTCCTTCTTCATCAAGACCCCTCAGGAGGGAGCGCAGACCAGCCTGTATTGTGCCCTCACCGAAGGTCTTGAGATTCTCAGTGGGCATCATTTCAGGTATGAATGCATCTGGTTTTGAAGATGGGGTTTTTATGGCTCAAAGGAAATAATCTGGATTTGTCTGGTATATTATACTCCTCTTATGAAGTACATTGTGCGACCTAGCTTTTGTCTTTTGACTAGTGTTTTTACTTTGTAATAAGGGGGTTGACTCATTCGCATTTTTCATGGTACTGCGAGGTTTGATTTTCTCCATGGCTATCTTTTATTATGCTTTCTGGTTGTTTCTTTTCTTCCTACCTTTTGTTATGTCCGTCTAGTTTTCTTTGTTCCCTTTTGGACTCCTGTTCTTTTCTTTCTTTTTTTTTTTACATGAAAAAGAATTTGAATCTGTATTTCTCTATTGTCTTTGGGACTAAAATAGTATCGATTGACTCCCTTCGTGAATAAGTGAAGACTTTTAAAATTGTTTATTGTAGAGAACTTTGAATATGTACAGTAATAGATAAAATAACATGTTGAACCCCCATATGCCCATAATACAGCCTCAACAACCATCAAGCCATCCCCATGCACCAGCCCTTCCCCTATTTTTTTTCCTCTCCTTTTATTCTGAAGCAAATCTCAGACATCACATAATATTGAAATGTTAGCATGTTTTTACCTCCCCCTTCAAGATTATGTGGAAATAACTTGAAATTTTAGAGGAAGGGCTGTAAATAAATTAAAATTGGAAAGAAAGGTAGACCATGAAAGGCCCACAACTCCAGGCTTGTGAGGAGCCACAGAAGTTGTTCCAGTAGAGAAAGAAATAATCTGCTCCGTGCTTCAGAGAAACATCCTGATGACTTGGTTTGATGAACAAGTAAATAACGCAAGCGAGAGAGAATGAGTTCCTGATTAAGGGTAATGACAGTTGGAATACAAAGAAGGGTTAAGTGAGAGAGGCCCTGAAGAGGCAGAATTGTTACAGCTTGATGACTACATGAGCGAGGGGTCTGGGAGGAGTTAGTGACCTGGGGTCAAGCCTGACTTACTAGGAGATTAATAATGACATTAACTGAGACAGCAGACATGGAAAAATCATGTGTAGAGCTTAGGGTTCTTTGATTCCAAAGCAGTGGAAACAGACACATGCTAACTTAAGCAAGAAGGGAATTTGTGAAAATGTGGGGGAATTCTTCTCAAAACCAAAGAGAAGACTGAAGAGCCAGGCTTAGAACAGACAGAGCGGCCAGTCAGCTGACCAGGGCACTGCTGCTGGAATGGGTATCCGCCAACTGTCTTTAGTCTTGGTTTTGTCGCTCACCATTCGCCCTCTAGCAAGGAAGCACTGGATCTTCCATCCTCTCATCCTCACTCCATTGGTTAGGGGAAGACAGGCACTTGATTAACGGGGTCTTCAAACTGTGGGAGAGAGATAATTCCTCAGAAAGGGATCAAGTTGCTGCTGCCAAAAGAATGTAGAAGGGAGGCGCCTGGGTGACTCCGTCGGTTAAGCATCAACTCTTGATCTCAGCTCAGTCTTAATCCCAGGGTTGTGAGATGAAGCCCTGGATCGGGCTCTACACTGGGTGTGGACACTGCTTGAGACTCTTTCTCTCCCCCCCCCTCTGCCCCTTCCTCCCCTTAAAAAAATGTGGAATGGATCAGGTGCCCACTGTGTAATAAACCTGGCTCTGTCCATGTTGAGTGTGTTATCCATAAGACTCCATGTGAGTAGAAGTGTATAGCAGGTAGTTGGCAATGTGGGTCTAAAATCCAGGAAGATAAGTTTACATAGTTTTATGTAGTAGAATGATTTTCCATGGGTGACTGGATTCTACTTCCCTGGAGATTTTAAGGTTTTGACTGAGTAGTTTAAAGAAAGTCAGCCCCGGGGCGCCTGGGTGGCTCAGTCATTAAGCATCTGCCTTGGGCTCAGGTCATGATCTCAGGGTCCTGGGATCAAGCCCCGCATCGGGCTCCCTGCTCGGCGGGAAGCCTGCTTCTCCCTCTCCCACTCCCCCTGCTTGTGTTCCCTCTCTCACTGTGTCTCTCTGTCAAATAGATAAATAAATTAATTAATTAATTTAAAAAAAAGAAAGCCTCAAATCCATGACATAGTAATTATTTAATTGACTTTTGAAGAGCCTTTCCAGTGCCATGGATTCTTAATTTTAAGCATTTTGAAGATCCAACATCAGCTATGTTGGCCACTATCAAGAAATGAGCATAAGTCTGTCTTGACTGAAGCATTAGAAACCTTGTGCTGCTTATTATTCCTGACTGAAACCACAAATCTACTTTTTGTCTCTATGGATCTGTCTGTACTGGGCATTTCATATCAATGGAATCATGTAATATGTGGCCTTTTGTGACTGGCTTCTTGTTTACTTAGCATAATGTGTTCACTGTCATCCATGCCAGAGCGTGTATCAGTATGTTATTCCTTTTAATTGCCAAATAATACTTCATTTTATGGATATACCACATTTTATTTATACATTCATCAGTTGATGGGCATTTGGGTTATCACTTTTTGGTGATATGATGCTGTGATATTCATGTACAGATGTTTATATGGAGATTTCTCTTGGTTTATATACCTAGAAATGGAATCCCACTGAAATATGGGTTATATGTCACTCGTGTTTAACTGTTGAGGAACTGTCAGACTGTTTTCCCAAGTGGCTGCACCATTTCATGTTGCCACCAGCGGTGGACGAGGGTCCCAATCTCTCCATGCCCTTGCTTACACTTCTTATTGTCTGTCCTTTTGATTTTAGCCATCCTGGTAAACATGAAGTAATTCTTCTGCTTACGTTTTTCTATTTTTTCTCATTATGGTTTTCATTTGCATTTTCTTGCTAATGATGTTAAGCATCTTTTCATGTGCTTATTGTCCATTTGTTTATCTTCGTTGGAAAAATGTCTATTCAAATCCTTTGCCCATTTTTAAAATGGGTCATTGCCTTTTTATTGTTTAATTGTAACAGTTCTTTAGATAGTCTGGATCAAGTCCCTTATCAGATGTGTGATTTACAAATATTTTCTCCCATTCTTTGGTTTGTCTTTTCACTTTCTTTATGGTGTCTTTTGAAGCAGAGAAGTTTTGATGAAGTCTAACTTAACCAATTTTTTCTTTTGTCACTTGTGCTTTTGGTGTCATATCTAAGAAACCATTGCCTAACTGAAGGTCATAAAGATTTACTGCTATGTTTTCTTCTAACAATTTTATAATTTGAACATTACATTTTGGTCTATGATTCATTTTGAATTAATTTTTATATATGGCATGGGGCGCCTGGGTGGCTCAGATGGTTAGGCGTCTGCCTTCGGCTCAGGTCATTATCCCAGGGTCCTGAGATTGAGTCCCGCATCAGGCTCCCTGCTCCTTGGGAGCCTGCTTCTCCCTCTGCCTCTCTCTCTCTCTGTGTCTCTCATGAATAAATAAATAAAATCTTTAAAAAAAAATTTATATATGGCATGAGGTAGGGGTCCCTCTTCATTTTTGCATGTGGATATCCAGTTGTCCCAGAACTGTTTGTTGAAAAAATTATTCCTTCCATTGAATTTTCTTGGTAGCTATATTAAAATTCCTTGGACTGGGGCACCTGGGTGGCTCAGTTGAGTGTCCAATTCTTGATCTTGGCTCAGGTCTTGATCTCAGGGCTGTGAGTTCAAGCCCCACATTGGGCTCCATGCTAGGCATGGAGCCTACTTAAAAAAAAAAAAATCCCTGGACTGCCATAACAGAATACCAGAAATGAATTTTCTCACAGTTCTGGACAACGGGAGTTAAGATCAAGGTGCCAGCGGGGTTGGTTTCTGATGAGGCCTCTATCCTGGCTTACAGAGGGCTGCCTTCTTGCTGTGTCCTCAGATGGCTTTTACTCTATGTGTGCACACTCCTGGTGTCTTCTCTTCTTATAAGGACACTAGACCTATTGAATTAGGGCCCTACCTTTATGACCTTACTTAACCTTAATTATCTCCTTAAAAGCCTGATCTCCAACTATAGTCACATTATAGATTCAACATATGGACTTTGGGGAATGTGATTCAGTCCATAACAGATTTATCAAAAATCAATTGACCATAAATGTAAGGGTACCTCTACACTTTTAGTTCTGTTCTATTCATTTATATGTCTATCCTTATGCCAGTAGCACGGTGTCTTGATTACTATGGCTTTGTAGTAAGTTTTGAAATTGGTCTTTTTATGTATACTGGTTGATACTTCCCAAAATCCTACTGGAACTATCAGCACCATGACTGTGCTGATGCCATAAGCACACGTAAGTAGCTTTTACTGTGGTATTCGAATACATTTTACAGCATGTCATAGCTTATGACACAAGGCACTTTCATGTCCCTTGTGTCATTTACTATTCATCATAATCTTGCAAAGAACATAAGGCATAATGCTGTAGAGGCTATAGAGGCTTACAGAGGCCAACTCATTTCCAGAGTCTTATGGAGCCTTTGGTTCTCAGTGATGGTCTTTTTACTCAGCGGTGGCAGGTTGTGCTGGTCACGCTGGTAAGTTCCCTTAAACAGAAGTACTATACTTACCAGACTTGTTTTGTAATTGCAAAGATATCTTTAAGTGGTGTTTCTCAAACTTTGGTGCATTTTAGAACCATCTGAGGAAGTGGTTGAAGACAGATTCCTGGACCTCTACCCTAGAGATTCTGATTCAGCAGGTTCAGATGGGGCCTGAGAATTGGCATTTCTTTTTTTTTTCTTTAAAGATTTTATTTATTTATTTGACAGAGAGAGACGCAGCGAGAGAGGGAACACAAGCAGAGGGAGTGGGAGAGGGAGAGGCAGGCTTCCCGCTGAGCAGGGAGCCCGAAGCGGGGCTCAATCCCAGGACCCTGGGAACATAAACTGAGCCAAAGGCAGATGCTTAATGACTGAGCCACCCAGTCATCCCAGAATTGGCATTTCTAACAAACTCCTAGATGATGCTCCTGCTAGTCCATAACCCGCTCTTTGATTAGCAGCGTCTTTATGGACGTAGTGTTAGGAGTTTGCTTCATGTGCTTATTTCAGCCTTCCAACTTTCCTTTCCACCTTCAGAATTTGCTTGGAATGTCCTGGAAGCAGTTTTCTTGAAATAGTATATAACTTTTTTAATTACTTCTTACGTGACTTAAAAGATTGCAATCTGTTTACTCAGTCACTTTTCAAAAAACCCTTTATTGAATACCTGCTGTGTGTTAGATGCAGCTAATTCAAAAATGATAAAATTTTCTGGGCAGTGCAGCATTTGAATACCCCTCCTGCATTTAACGGGGACTAAAATAATTGGGATTACAGCAATGAAGAGAAGGTATATGAAACACACAGTACCTTATTGTTGCATTTCTTTTATGCTATCATCTTTTCCTTGATTGTTTATGAGGCTGGCTTTCTTATTTGAATTTAAAAACAGTTATAACTTGGGGGTGCCTGGGTGGTGCAGTTGGTTAAGTGTCTGACTTGGTTTCGGCTCAGGTCATGATCTCAGGGTCATGAGTTTGAGCCCCGCATCAGGCTTCATGCTCAGTGGGGAGTCTGCTTGCGATTCTCTCTCTCCCTCTCCCTCTGCCTCTCCTCTGGTGTGCACTCTTTCTCTCTCAAAAGTAAATAAATCTTAAAAAGAATTTAAAAATAAAAAGTTATAATTGCAGGTAGACCTGAAATAGTAAGTTTTGGGGATGGTTTTGTTTGTTTTTACCACTCCAGGCATCTGTAACCAATGTAATCTCAGCAGCATGACACTGTACAAGGTCCTGTGTGAACAGGCTGGACATACACAGGTGTCAGGCGGGCACTGATATTATAGTTAAATATATACATATAAAGGGGAATATAGAGACTAAATGCTATGTATTATATATCAGACATTCTGGTCAGAGGGAGTCTAGTGAGGAGATCTAAATGGTAAATACATTTTCTCTGGGGTAAGGATTGGAGAATGAAGAGATAAAGACAGGCCCTATGAAGTGCATAGAGGACATGTCATCCCTAGGTTGTTTTTCTGTCACATTCCTTGTTCCAGGCAGAGAATAGACTCCATTCATAAACCTCTGTGTTTTAAGCCTCTCTCTTTCCCTTCTAGCGACTGCAGGGTGGCATGGGTCTCTGCCCAGGCTCGGAATGAGACAATAGCAAGACGGCTATGGGACGTCAGCTGTGACCTTCTGGGCATCCCTATGGACTGACAGGTGGTAGCAGGTGGACTCAAGAGAAACCTGCAGCAGACTACTCAGTACTCCCTGCCAAAATGATTCTCCTTCATGACAGCCAAAACCTTGAGCACAAAGAAAACAAACCCTCCAGCCTTTCCTGCTTGATGTCTGATAAAAGCCCAGTGTAACTGCCAGATTCATCAAAACACCTTGCGTTAGTCCAGATTGATTTTGCTCTTGTTACTGCCAGACGTACAAGAGGTATCATAGGATAAGATCTTCGTATGACCTGCAAACTCATATTCACCTTTTGAAACCTACTACCTAGGAGAATCTTAGCTATGGCAGGGTCAATTTATGGCAGTTTGGATTAGTTTCTACCCTCTTTGTTCACAATATAGTTCCTCCCAACCACCAACCAACTTTGATTTCAAGAGGACCACACTGCAGCCCCACCTGAACTCCCAGAATCAACGGTGGCTTGGCTCAAGAGCAGGGCTCATCCCTCACGTATTAAGAAAACCATCATATGCCAACATCTAGATTCTCTCAGGAAACTCTTAACTGAATCTGGATTATGGGATGGGCTTTATCTTCAGCAACCTAAAGCCACTTTAAGACACTTTTACATGTCGACCACAGAAGAGCTTCCTTTTCTAAGAAGTTTGTGGGGTTGGGAGGATGGCAGAAATTTGGAGGAAAGCAGAAATAAAAATCAAGTTTAAACTGTCATTTTCCTACTGTTTCTCAGGCCAGCAAGTGGGTAAAGAAAGGAGCAGTACGAGAAGATAGCTCACCTGCCTGACTTCAGTTTACTGACCCCAGACCCATGGAGGCCTTTTTGTGCTTTAGTTTCTCTTAGAAAATCCGAAGAAGGGAAAGGCTATTTGGTGATTGTCACTGAGTATATCTTTGTGTGTGTTCTTATGTAGTTATGCAATTGGGATTATTTTTACAAAATTCAAAATAGCTACAAAGGAAGAGTATTAAACTGGACCCTGGTGCAGGTAAGTGTTCAAAGATGAAGAAAAGAGTGTCATCCAATCTTTAATACAAATGAGTGGAGCTACAAAGGGAAACAGATTGTGTATATGTGGATAACTACTCACCAAGAAGCACATGGGGAGAAGGGAAGAAGTCCAAAAAAGAGAAGGATCCTGGAAGATAATGCATACAGTGAAGGGCCAGTTAAGGATTAAAAAAACAAACAAAACAGCTAAAAATGGCAATATATAACTATGGAAGAATTGAGGGTGAGCACCTGAGTTAGCAAGACTGATACTGCACTGTCTTAACAAGCACCAATCAATCAATGTGGCAGAAAAAGACCCCAAAAAACCCAATTCTTTATTAGGCAAAATTATCCTAAGGACTGATATTGGTAATTTATAGTCAATAATCTTCAGGGCATTTCCTTACATTATCTTGACAAGATTAAAATGTCTATTTGCTAAAAACCTACATTTAATTTGGAGAACTCTTATCAAAGGTAATGCTGCCATAGGAAATTGGAGGAATCAGTAATGTTCCCATCACTTGTTTGGAGTATGTTATTCTAATAGTTTGTGATTATCTTGAACTGACAATTACATATTCACTTCGGTGGGGGAAAGAGTTATAGGACCACAGTCTTCTCATTTTTGTAAGTGCATATTCCTTTGTTGCACTTGTTTTGACTATTAAGGTATCTAATTTAGAAATGGTCGTTTTATGGAAAAATTGGAAAATTTTAATAATAGTTAAGTAGCATAATTGAGCTAATATTTTACTTAATTTATGTTGAACTGTCACTAACAGAAAGTTTTTGATTATTATGTTTTTATTTACCAAAATAAAAACTGTATTAAATGAAAGTTTAGAGAGTCAGCAGAAGAAAACAATTAAATGAAAGTTTAATTATAAGAAGAAAACACTTCATTATTATGGTTATACAATCATTTCTCATTTTTAAGGATAATTTGTCCCAGAGTCTAGCCACAGTACAGCCTCAGTCAGATGTTATAACTTCAGTTGTGTGAAAATGTGATTGTTGATTCACCCATTTTTCTACTTGTCTTTTATGATGCTGTTCAAAGATCCCTTTTTTCCATCCGAGGCTATTGTCTCCTTTTTGTACCTGCCCCTTCTATAACAATGCTGTGGGACTTATCACAGTACACTTCCACTAACAACCTCAGATTTTGCTATCTCTGTACTCAGTGAACATTAGGCGCTCAAGGCGTGTGTTGAATCAGTGGTCAATCAATCAGTCTAATAAAAATAAAGGTCCAGGAGATATAAATCACCACATCATTTCCCCCCGAACAATCATGTATCTTGTAATATGTTTGGGCAGTTTTATATATTGGGCTGCCAAGCAAATATTTCAGAAAGGGCTTCGATAGGAAAATCATTTCATAAGTTGAAAATAAGAATTTTTATTCGCTGAGCCATGAAACCCCATGTAGTGCAGAAAAGGACTTCGTAATTGTTAACACATTACACACAGCGGGAAAGAGACCTGAAGATGCTGGGTCTGCCTTGCTCACCACGTTATAAAATAACCCAGCGCAGAGTGGCTCTTTTATTCGCCAACATAGGCCCATATCCGACATGATGACTACGCGTAACATTAACAAAGACCTGCTGAGTGAATGAACGCACTAGGCGAGCCCAGACGCTAGAGCCTGAGTGTGTATTTTGGGAGTCACACTGGGGACCATTTCTGAAAGCATATGACCCTGGTCACTTGACTTCCCCAGTAAAAGTGCTTTACTGCTCCAGGGCAAGCTGGAACCTGGCCCGGCTATCTTTCGAGGGCTGAAAGCTAACGTTTAGTCAGGACACGAACTGAGGAGGTCAGAGCGGTCAAACAGTGCGATGACATCGAAGACGACTTCCACGCGCTTACTGACACCAAACTACAGAGCGTGTCAGCACTACCCACTGCGGCTGTGGCACTGACAGAACCACCGCCCCCGCCGACGCATGACTCCTGAGTCCCGGCGTCTTCCGCGCCGAACTACAGCTCCCGGCATGCACTGCAGTGTCCGTTTCCCCCTCCCCCCCGGGAGGCGGGGCCCTGGGGACAGGTCGGTGCGCTGCCAGTCCCGCGGGTCCTCACAGTCCCTTCCGTTGTGGCTCTCTCTCCAACCCTGGACCGGGTATTTCCGGGGCTCCAGGACTGCCGCTCGTCCGGCGTGCTGCCACCCTTTCAGGAATCGCCCGGGAGGGCATCCCACCCGACTTTCCGTCAGGCTTCCGCGGCCGGCGCTCCCTCAGTGACGGAATGAAGGGGGTGGGCATTCTGGCTCGGGAGGACCCCGCCGCGGCCCCGGAAGCGCCTCGTCCCGGGCAGTGTTGGCGGCGGTCGCCGTGATGTTTGCGGGGTTGGGCGGCTGACCGCCGGGATAGGAGCGGCCCCAGTGCCCCAGATCTCGGTGGCCGCTGCTGGAGCGCGGCTTGCGCCATGGCCACCTCTGCCGCCTCCTCAGAGCATTTCGAGAAACTTCACGAGATCTTCCGCGGCCTCCATGAAGACCTGCGAGGGGTGCCGGAGCGGCTCCTGGGGACGGCAGGGACAGGTGAGGCGAGGGCGGGACGAGCCATAGGGAACTCGGCCCCGCGCGTGCCTAGGGAATAAGAGCCCCGCCCCCTAGGGTTGGGTGGGTCTCGGCGCTCAAGATTTCCCTGCTGCCACTTGAGGGTGCTCTGGGATGAACCTCTGAGTGTTGTCTCCTAGGGATTCTCCCTCTAGATCCTACTGTAGCCGTCAAAATTTTGTCTCGTTTTCACCCTGGCAAGAAGAGCATAGGAGACCTTAAATCTGAGGCCCTATATTTCAGTAAAATTGGTTTCTTTCGTAACTGTCTGTATATTTTGCTTTATGCATTTAAAAGCATTATCAAGATAAGTCCATAGTTCTTACCAGACTGGCAAAGGATCTGTAGCATCAAAAAGGCTAAGAAGCCAAAGGAAAAACAACTTTGGGGTTGGTAGATTACCAGGTTTGGGGAGGGGGTGGTCTTTAAAATCGGGATTGTGAGTTTAGTTGGGGTCGCCTTATGAATTTTTTTATGCTTAAACTGTTTCCTGTCCCTTGATTTCAAAATTCAGGTTGCTGCAAGCTTTGCGTGGAGGAGTTAGTTTTCCAGTTAAATCTCTAGGCAGACCTGCCAGGTTCTTTGCCACTCAGAACAAATAGATCTTGATGTCAAGGCTGATAAGACTTTGTTTTGTTGTTTTTACTTAAGGGTCAGAGCTTGAGTGTTTGCTCCGCGAATTTCCTGGTCATGTGAGTTGAATGACTCTGATGAGAATGCCAGAGAATGTTGAACATATTGAGAGAGACTGCTGTGTTCCAGGCACTGTCCTAAATGCTGGTAATATTGCAAATTATTGCAGTGAGGAGACTTACAAATCCTTGTTGTAGTGGGTTGATGATGTATAAATATTAAGAGGAAAGTAATGCAGGGCAAAGGAATGCAAGGGAGGACACTAATATTAAATAGGGTGGCTGTGAAAGGCTTCTTTGAGAAGGTGGCATTTGAGCGAAGACTTGGATGAATTAAGAGAGTAAACCATGTGAAAATTTGGGAGAAGTGAGTCTGAGGAGGACAGAATAGCATTGCAAATGTCCTTAAGCAGGTATGAACTTGGTAGGTTCTAGAAAGAGCAAGAAGGCCAGTGTGAAATGAGCAAAGGAGACAGTGGTAGCAGATGAGGCTACAGAGAGGTAGGCAGGACCAGATCACGTGTGGACTTATAGACCCTAGTTCACGTGTGGACTTAATAGACCCTAGTGAAAGATTCGCACTTTTTTCTAAACGTGATGGGATGTACTTAACAGGGTATTAAATTTTTTTTTAATTTATTCATTTGATAGAGATAGAGCATGAGCAGGGAGAGAGGAGAGGGAGAGGGAGAAGTGGACTCCCCGCTGATCCGGGAGCCCGACCTGGGGCTCGATCCCAGAACCCTGGGATCGGATCATGACCTACCTGAGCCAAAGGCAGAAACTTAACCATCTGAGCCACCCAGGCGCCCCACTTAACAGGGTATTGAGCAAGAGAGTGATGGGATCTGATTTACATGGTTGAAAATTAGACTGTTTTTTCAGCTCGTTGCTGAATTAAATTTTGCAGTGTTCATTACTGGAAGAGTAAATAGTGCAAAAGTGTATTCCATTTTGAAAAATAGAAAACTGAGTTATATTCACTTTTATCGCCTACCTGCCCTTCTCATTGCTCCAATGAGGTATGAATATCTACCCAAGCGCAAAATACTCTTAATACAAGTTGCTGGAAACAGACTTTGTTGTTTAACGCATAAGTAAATACATTGTACACATAGCCATAGGTTACAATAAGAATTTCAACAGCTCTGGGGCGCCTGGGTGGCTCAGTTGGTTAAGAGACTGCCTTCAGCTCAGGTCATGATCCCGGAGTCCCGGGATCGAGTCCCGCATCAGGCTCCCTGCTCAGCAGGGAGTCTGCTTCTCCCTCTGACCCTACCCCCTCTTGGGCGCTCTCTCTCTCTCACTCTCTCTCTCTCTCAAATAAATAAATAAATCTTTAAAAAAAAAAAAGAATTTCAACAGCTTTCAGTCTCTGCTCACTACTTTGTTCATACTGTTCAATAAATATTTGTTGAATAAATTGAATTTAGCTGAGAGAACATACAGTGCATCTCTGAATCCTTTTTTTCTAATTCTGAGATTACTTCATACACTTTCCAGAATTTTAATTTCCATCATGAATCATTAGGTTCTAAGTAATGTACATAACACAGCTCTTGCATTTAGCTTATGTTCTGTATCAGTCACTGTCCTGGGCCCTGAGGAGTTTCAAGAGTTCTTGCCTTAAATGGGACCAAATTTACAACAAAATTTGTGATAGGTCCTAAGATAGTTTTGAGACCATAAAGAAAAGGCTTACTTGGGTGTTAGGGGAGGGATGTTTTGCAGAAAGGAGAACTGAGTATAAGGGGTTCAGTGGGAGTTTGCCAGACAGGGGAAATGGGAAGAAGGAACAACAGAATAGAAAGTTGAATACTTACAACCATGACTGGAGCTTAGGGTGTGTGTGGGAGGATAATAGTAGATGAGCAAAGTGAGACACAGCCAGATTGTGAAGGGACCTGTATATCTCATTAAGACATTTGGGCTTCTCACAAAGTACTTGACATATAAGAACAAAAAATTTGTTTATCTGTCAAATATTTATTGAGCACCTATTATGCAGCGTTCCCTGAGCTAGGCGCAGAAATACAGTAGTCAAAGACACAGACAGTCTGCTCCTATGAAATGTACAGTGCAGAAGAGAAAACTTAAAGCAAATATTTGTTTAACTTTAATTCATCAAATATTCACTGAATATTTACTGTAGGTCAAAAGCAAATAATTACCCAAGTATCTTTCTGATTATAATTGTGATCATTGTTCTGGATAAACAAAGTACCTTTATGAAAAAAAAAGACATTTGGGCTTGATATGAAGAATCAGTAAAGAATTTTAAGCAGCTAACTAATATGGTCAGATTTTATTTTACAAGGAGAATGCTGGTGGCTGAATAGAGGATGAAGGAGAGGCATAAGACTCTGGATATAGTGGACCATGTTAGGAGCCTTTGTGGCAATTGTCTGGGTAACATGGGAATGTAGAGAGTCCCAAGTCCAATTTCTAAGGCAGAAATTAACCAGACTGATTGGACATGGGGAGTAAGAGAAAAAGATTCAAGGGTGTCTGCATTTTCTCACTTGGTCATTTGAGTGGATGATAAACTTAAATAAGAAATATAAAAGAAACGGGCTTATTTGGGTTGTAGATGAAAGCATCAGGGTGCTTATAGAATAGAGAGCATAATGTATATCCAGTCTAGCCTGACAAAGTATTTCTTCTCTTGCCATTAAAAGTACCATTTATGAAGAAGATATTATGTGAATTGAGAGGCAATATAATATTTAACAGCAAGGATTCTAGAAACAGACTGCCTGGGTTCAAATCCTGGATCCATCTCTTAGTAGCTATGTGACCTTGGATAACTTACTTCAACCTAACTAGTTTCTCTCTGCAAAATGAAGGTAAATCATAGTATTTATTTCATAGGGGTTTTGTGAGGATTAAATTAGTTAATATATGTAAAGCCCTTAGAATACTGCCTGACAAGAGCCATTTGCCACTGTTATTCTTGTTTGGGAAATTGGATATTTTATTTAAATAAAACGTAATACCAGCTCTGTATGCAGCTATTATGTTGCTCTACTTTTGCTTTTTTCCTAGAGCACTTATCTTCTAACGTACTAGACACTTTATGTATTTCTGATGTTTATAGTATATTATTTGTCTACCTTTCACTAGAACAGTGGTTTTCAAAGTATGATCCCTGAAACACTAGCATCAGGAACTCTAGAAATGCAAATTATTAGGTCCCACCAAAGGTTTACTGAATTATTAACTGTTTTAACATCCATCCGGGGGATTTCTGATTCATGTCAAGTTTGAAAGCAACTGAGCAAAAACCAAGCTCTATGTTTTCTCCACATCCTTGTTAGCACTTGTTATTTCTTGTCTTTTAATAATAGCCATCCTCTAACAGGTATGAGGTAGTATCTCATTGTGATTTGATTTGCATTTCCCTGATGATTGTGATGTTGAGTACCTTTTTTTGTACTGTTGGCCATCTGTATGACTTCTTTGGAAAAAATGTTTACACAGATCTTCCACCCATTTTTTAATCAGATTGTTTGGGGTTTTTTTCTCTTGAGTTGTATGAATTATTTATATATTTTGGATATTAATCCATTATCAAATATATGATTTGCAAATCTTTTCTCCCATTTGGTAAATTGCCTTTTTATTTTGTTGTTGGTTTCCTCTGCTGTGCAGAAGCTTTTTAGTTTGGTTGTAGTCCCACTTGTTTATTTTTGCTTTTGTTACCTTTTGGTTGTCAAATCTAAAAAATCATCACCAAGACTGATGTTGAGGAACTCTTGTGTTTTCTTCTAGGAGTTTTATGGTTTCAGGTCTTACAGTCAAGTCTTAGGTCCATTTTGAGTTAATTTTTGTATATGTTGTAAGATAGTGATCCATTTCTAATCTTTTGCATTTTTCTGTAAAGTTTTCTCAAAACTGTTTATTGAAGAGATTGTCTTTTCCTGTGAGGTAACAGAAATATATATAGATGTATTGGTCTCTGTCCCTGGTTCTTGCACAGAGCTCCTAAAATCCTTGTAATTTCCTAAGTGATAAGAACACTAGGAGCATCTTTTGTTCTAATGAGATGACTCTGAATGGCCTCCTAGATGGGGACTGGTCACCAGAACAACCCAGAAGCTTGGATTTTCAGCCCTACCCCTTGTCCTCCAGGGAGGGAAGAGGAGGTGAAAATGGAGCTACTAATTGATCATGCCTTCCGAGGAAGCCCTCATAAAATCCCAGTAGTATATGGGGTTCAGGGAGCTTCCAGGGGGGTGAACATATCCATACCTGGAGGGTGATGCACCCTAACTCCACAGGAACAGAAGCTCCTGCACTCAGGACCCTCCCAGACCTCACCCTGTGTATCTCTTTATCTGGTTGTTCATC